TATCATTACTGAGTATTATTATAGATATAGTGGGTATTGTGAATAAAATAGAAAAACGCGGTGTTTTTAAGTGTTATATAAATATACAGTTTACAATTAATATTACAAATTGTCAAAGAGAGTGGGACGATATACACATCCGATACCGATCCGATCCGATACAATACCGATATACGTAATCGTACTGATCTATGGGTATTAGATCGTTTCTCCAATGAAGGATTGTGGGTATTAGATCGTTTCTCCCAACGATTTTGATTGACCTTCATTTATATTTAGTAATAAAATGTTCGATTCAGTTATAATACTGGACACAGAGTTTTGTGTAACAGCATATCAGAGTAGGCAAGCATGAGCTTGAGTTAGCACATGATAGCTAATGATAAACGTTTACAAATATATCATATATTTTTAAGGTATAGTATTACGTGTTTTATAAATAATTTTACTTACTTATATTTATTGAAGCTGATCCTTCATGATAAAAAAAGTGATGAGAAAAAATATTGTAGAACAAATAATGTTTTTGGTCATATTCAAATATACCTATAAATTAGTATAGTGCGTCTCATATATCGATAGATTGGGACTATCATGGGATTCAAGGGTATAAAGGTTCATTTTTAGAAACTTACCAAATTCCAAATTCATTTCGACGATTCGCATTTTATTGATTCCATGACTCGATTAATGTAAATCGTCAGTGCTCCAAATTCATTAAAATTTAATTTTGGATTTGGTGATATATTTTATCGACATGAGAAAAATGAAAAAGTTGCGTATGTTCTGATAATGGGGTTGCTAGAAAACCCAATACGCAGGTTTTATTAGACTATTTTTGATTCGTTTGAAATTATAAAAATTGCAACAAAACAATTTGAGTAATAATTTTTTTTAGACATCATAGTGTACAATAAAACTGAACATCCCGCTCTCATACTTATTTTGCGTCAATATGGCCAGCGATAGAAATAGAATAATACGCAGGAATGAGTCATATGTTATTTGAATCAGCCTGTTATCGACTGGAAACGATTTCTTGAATAATTTATTTTCAGTAATTTACGAAAATAAATTTTTATTCATCTTTTCTATTATTTTTAAAACGATCAAGATATTGAAAGAAAGTTTGACAATGCCATTATCAATGTGACATATACCTCTAGCTATAGCAGTATTACACAATTCACTCTGTCTTTGTTTTTACAGGCCGAAGGGGAAGTTTTCAGATGCTTCCAAATAGCAGACGCAGAACTTTTGCTGGATGAACTTATCGAGAAGACAATTTCAATAAAATAGAGCATTTGATCAACAAATGACAATAAAATTAACACAGGTATTTTGTACAATATTAAAATAAAAATGGGCATCAGCCGATCGATGTTTGGAGTTTGGTCTGGTTTAAATATATATTTAAGGGATATATAGCTACTAGATTACAAAATAGTCTTCAAATTAAGGAATACAATAGACCAAAGAATTCGTCCATAGGCGTCGTCAGGGGCAACGTCAGGACGAGCTGTCATCAGGATGTGTCATCCATGCATGCGTCTTCAACACCTGTACAATTAACCATAAGCGATGTAACATATTAGAACTGTGAACAGTTTAAATATTTTTCCGGTGTTATTTAAATCAATCACGCAATCACGCAAGGTGAAAACAATTTCGAATATTTGGAAATATGAAATTCTCTACAACCGGTAACCAAATCCCCGTACTACGTTAGACTACGTACTCTCTGAGCCCTTGCAATCTCTAGTTATCTCTAGCTATCTCTAGCAATCTCTAGATCGCTAAGTATGTTGATAGGTATTTGTGTGTTTGTCTTTCTGTATGTTTGTCTGTCTGTTAGATGCACGCGATATCTCACGAAGGCGTGGTTGGATCTGCTCCAAATTTTGCACGTGGATAATTAGCGAGTTAATATTTAATTAGTAATGGGACACGCGGTGTCACTATAGAGTCATGAATCAAAACCGCAGTTTCGATCGATAAGTCTTCGGTCTCCGACCGATACTCTCGTTATTTCTTATTTCTAATTACTTATCAATCTTAAGATCGGTAAGTATGTTCATAGGTATTTGTCTGTTTGTCTGTTTGTCTGTCTGTCTGTTAGATGCACGCGATATCTCACGGAAGCGAGGTTGCATCTGCTCCAAATTTTGCATGTGCATTCATCATATCTCAGACCAGAAGCCTATTGATTTTGGATGAATTATGTCGTGGTGTCACTATAGAGTCATGAATCAAAACAGCAGTTTCCATCCATAAGTCTTCGGTCTCCGACCGATATTCTCGTATTGTATTTTGGTCCAATTAAGGAAATAATTTTAAGCGCCACCAATTTAAACCTTGATACATAATCCCGGGAACATGAGCAACTTCAAGTCACAACGGCAATGAATGGTAAAATATAATATTAAAGTTTTCGTCAACATAATATCACCAAATGATTGGCATCATTCATAACCATCAGCAAGGTTACAAACATCATCATACCCGACATACCACGACAGTCGGCCAACCGACTCCTGAAAAGTGGGTGATACGTTCGGTTAGCAACGTCAATCATTTTTTGTAAATTGAACAGTACTTCCGCTGCTCAGATGCCAGCTCACGCACATTTGATTGGTATCCACCGGGAAGATATTTACAAAGGCCGGGTAACAAACTTCTCCGGTTCTAGAAAATAAATACTTGATATATATTATATATAGATCAGCATGAAATCAGAAAAAAAAATTTCTAAAACGCCTATTGAACTCGAATAATTATTGTATATGCTAGTGTGTTAAAAAGAACGTAATATCATTTATTATTCGTTTTTAACATAATTTATCGGATTTGTTTCAAGTAATTTATTAGTTAGTACTATATGATAATCAAGCCTTGTTTTCTTTGATTCACAGTTTATATTTGTGTGCATATTTTTGAGCAACATGTTTTAGTAGACTAATTTGTACATTATTTAGATTAGTTATAAACGTCAGTAATTGAATTTCATCTTTATAATACCTCAAATAAAACATAACTACATCTCAGCCTGACTCCAAACCATTAATAAAATAATACCCAGGTCAAAACGATGTTGTCGAAAGACATTGCCCTTAATTTAATTTTCAAATATCATAAGTATTATGAGGGTACGAAAGTAAAACTAAATATTCACATTGACAACTATTTTCAGTTCACTGTTCTTGAGGGAATACAAGAAAGCTGAATAGAAATTATATTTAGAAATAGAAGGAGATTTATGTTATTGTAAAAAGTGAAAGGTTTATTCACTAAAAATTAATTTGACAGAAAAAGAAACATACGTAAAAATTATGAAAAATTATTATTGAAAAGACCTCGATTTATCAGTTCGTATTCCTCAATCAATTTCTGACATCTTATTTAAAATGATGGTCATGGAAAATTATCGATATAAACTAATATCTTTTATAGAACCTGGAAACGCCTGGATGTTCGATTCGAAGATATCGATGTTTTCCGTTATTTTTCGTCACCCATTGATTTCAGTTGCAATTTTATCACATCAAGGGACAACGCACCTGCGTCCCTGTCCAAACTAAAATAACAAAATACAAAATACAGAATGACTCTAAAGTCCATTTACAATTAAAAAAAAACTATTACGAAGAGAAATGATGAGATATCGCAATGCGGGTTGTTTTATGTTAATGAGTATTTCATATAGTTTTTATTGACACAATTAATACAGTTTTGAACGTTTATTCAAAAAATATTATGACTCTGTTTATTAAACTTCTATATGGGCACCATTAGTTGCACGAAGATGGTAAGACTATATGGTACTCAATGTTCGATACACAATATAATAATATAAAATAATTCCAGGGGAGTGATGTCTGGTTAATGTGGTGGCTATGGAAACGGCCTATCCCTTCCAATCAATCGGTCGGGAAAAGTTTCATTGAGGTTCTCACGAACATGCAGTCCCCAGTGGGGTGGTGCGCCATCTTGCTGGGATATGATGGTTGGTTGAAATTCATTCATATTCGGTGAGAAGGTTAAGGTAAACATCTGCAGTAATTGATGCCTTGTTGAAAAAAATGGCCTAATTTTTCGATTGCACACAATTCAACACCGAACATTCTCTTTGGACTATCACGCTGAAGTTCTCACTCGCATGGGGGTTTTGCGATCCCCAAATTCATAAATTGTGTTTATTTAACTTTCCTGAGACATGGAGAGTTGTCTCATCACTGAAACAGACTCGCTTGAGGAATGCTTCATCCTCAGAAATTCGTTCATATACTTCAATCATTTTATTTGGGAAGTTTTATCTAAAACAATAAATTTTAGTGTCAATTTTTTTTATTAAATATCGATTTACATAGAACAACCCTCATTGCAATATCACATCATTTACCTTTTCAATATATTGTTTCTTAAATGTTAAGAGACTTTATGAACACCCTGCACTTAATCCAGTGAGAGCTATTTTGCCTCATTTATTACCTATATGAAAATAAAAAATAAAATTCGAATACAAGAACTCACCAATCAATTCTGCAATGTAGTGAAGTATATATAAACGTATATATATATATAAATCCAATTATATTAGAAACAACCATTTGAACAATTTTCGAAGGTGAACGGCGAATCTGTTGAAGGTTTTTTGTTTAAAATTTTCTATCCTAATCAAGTATTTCCCGGGGATATATAGTGTAAGAGGAATTAGCCACATTGGATGCAAGTTAATAACAGATTAAAATCCCGAGTAAGTATGACATTGATTTAATGTTTGATCTTTTCTGGAAATTGACGAAAATAAATCTTTCGTCCGCCCGCATTCAAAATTGTTTGCATCCGTTTCTTTCAATAAATATTTAATCGCATGAACAGGCGGGTAAATTAATAGCATGTGTGCACAGCGGAAGCGGTTATTTAAGAGGTCATTTCCCGATCTAAACGTAAAAAATAGAGCATTAAAACTATATAAAAAGATGATTTGATTGCTGCTGATATATGTTATATTATTTCTTCATAATATTCTATAAAGGTGAGTTTTGAAGATTATTCTTAATCTGCTATGTCTAAGAAAACCAAAGATGCATAGCGTAAGCGATTTTTGTATGAAAAATATATATAAGGAATGAGTTTCTCTGTGATTAATACGATAACAAATATGAGTTCTTCATACATATATATGATGAATGGCAATTAACTTTAAGACAGAGTATGACTACCGATTTCAGTAATATAATGATGAAATAACAAGTTTTTGAAATGACAAAAATGCCGATGGGCTGTTATGTCAAGGAGATACTTCGGGCATAATAGACACCACATCTAGATTTGAAAGGCATTTTTGCAGTTTGCAAGATTTTTGTGCATATATTCCCGATAACGTGTTTTATCACTTTTTTACATTATAATAATCATTTTAATTTTTTTAAAGTTTTAAATTTTTATTTTTTTTATCTTTGTCTGCTTCATCAGTTAGAAAGTTCATTGCAATTGCGTCAAAGAAATGGGACCTCTCTTAAGAAAAATTGTCGTTTCCATCGTGCTGGTACTGTGGATTGTATCTATTGAAGGTAAGAAATTATAAGCAAATAAATAGAAAATTTATTCCTGCTGTTTTGTCGATGTTACTGATGTAGAACATCTATCTATACGTCATTCAATTAGACTTCATATAACACTATACTCCATTCGTAATAAAATTTTTGTTTACTAAACAAAGAGTCATATTTCTATCATCAACTGGAAACAATTTTCGAACAATCTATTTAAGTAACTAAAATAAAAATGTATTTTATTCATCTTTTCTATTCCTTTCAAAACGATCATGATATTGAAAAAAAGTATGACAATGCCAATATTATTCTGACATATATAGCTAACTATTACAATATCACAGCATTCATTTTGTACCAGTCTATGTATATGCATTTATTGATTGAAAAAAGCTATTTCGAGTGGTTTCAACAGTTCTTCAAAAATTTCGAATACTGCATTGTCTTTACAGGCCGAAGGGGAAGTTTTCAGATGATTTCAAATCGCAGACGCATAACTTTTGCTGGATGAACTTATCGAGAATACAATTTCAATAAAATACATCATTTAATCAACAAATGATAATAAAATTAACACAGTTATTTTGTACAATATTAAAATAAAAATGAGCATCAGCCGATCAATGTTTGGAGTTTGGTCTGGTTTAAATATATATTATAGGGATATATAGCTACTAGATTACAGAATAGTCTTCAAATTAAGGAATACAATAGATCAATTCGTCCTTCGGCGTTGTCAGGGGCGACGTCAAGACGAGCTGTCATTAGGATGTGTCATCCATGCATGCTTCTTCTACACCTGTACAATTAGCCATAAGCGTTGTAACATATTCGAACTGTGAATGGCCCAAATATTCTCCTGATATTATTCAAATCTGATTTCAATCTGTCGTCCGTGACATGCAATCACGCAAGAAGAAAACAATCACGAATATTTGGAAATATGAAATTCTCTGCTACCGGTAACTAAATTCCCGTACTACGTTAGACTACGTACTCTCTGGGCTCCTGCAATCTCTAGTTATTTATCTTAATTTTGAATGTTGTTTAGTGATTTCGATCTTATTTTGAGTGACCGTAGAATTGAAGCAGTTGAGGCATCCAAATAGGACTGATTAATGTTTTGAAAACTGCATAGCAGAGCTCAACTATTTTTCGTAACATTTGAGCTAAAAACAAACTTAAGGTTGTTGCACCTTTATTGTAGAAATAAATAAAAAAACTACTTATGCAATTGTAGCCGCAATTACGCAGAAATAACTGAAACATCTCCTGTAAATTTACCGGTGAACTGAAAAAGATCTATCCACAGAAGTAATATAGTTTATAGCGGTGCATTATAGCCTGGGCGGCATGCACCCTCTCCACCCTGCCGAAATTTTCAGCGTATGCTTTTTTGAAAAGAAATTTTGCGGCATTTGCAGTGAGACACAAACTCATACATCTTTTTCAACACTATTTTGCTCTATTCGTGTGCGATTATAGGCTAATCTGACGTTTTAATTATCAATCTTTCTCACTAGCGAATCTTCTCAGATAGATGAATTTCGTGCTTGTTGAACAGCGAAGAAAGTCTGTTGAGAGCGTTGTTACGTATCGATTTTGATCGGTAAGTATATTGATAGGTATTTGTCTGTCTGTCTGTCTGTCTGTCTGTCTGTCTGTCTGTCTGTCTGTCTGTCTGTCTGTTAGATGCACGCGATATCTCACAAAATCGAAATTGAATCTGCTTCAAATTTTTCATGTGCATTCATCATATCTCGGACCAGAAGCCTATTGATTTTGGGCGAATTTTGTCGTATAATTAGCGAGTTATTAATTAATTAGTGATGGGACACAAGGTTCACTATGGAGTAAGCGCGCTTTTTTGGGGATTACCTAACTTTTGATCGATAAGTCCTCGGTCTCTGATCGATATTCTCGTTAAGATATTGATAGATATTAGTGGCATTTTGTCAGGCCTTGTTTGAACCGGAAGACGAGAGTAAAAGCTAGATTACGACGTATACAAAACAACCCCAATGTGCTGGCTACGTACACCCAATTGAATTGTTAAAGAAAACGATATGCCAGCTGGAGTGTTGATTTATTCAAGTTTTTGTAGTTTAGTATCCGTAAAAAAAAGACCCAGCTGATGTGTTAATTAATACAGCGAGGAAATGTCACAAAGGAGCACTGTTATTTTGTTCAAACCATGACTTCTCCACAACACAGTGCAATGAATTAATACATTCCAAACGTGTCTATGAACCAACGTCTAAAACAAAAGAATTAATTAACTTATATATATCCTCATCTTATATTCTGTTTACTTTTAAGAGTTAGTTAAGTTAGAATTTAGGATTTTATTGTTTGATCCCTCTTGCAATCTTTCATCGGCGATTCACTTTCTACCACTGAGTTACTGTTATGTTTAAATGGTAGAAACGCCATCAACGTCACATACTTGTGGCGGTAACTACGTCTACACGTGCCATTGCGGGCAGTTCATGCATCATTAGATCGAAACACAGTCAAGTTCCCCTGAGATTTCAGTTCTAACTAAAGGATTACGCAATCAAAAACAAGTATCTAAGTGTCGTGCATGGGGACATTCAATGTCCCCATGCACGACAATTATTTTCAATAATTCTTTTGATTAGGGAGGGATACAATCTGAATATGGTTGACAATAAAACTAGCGTCCAATACGTTTCAGGAAAGAATGAAACTGCTATCTTGAATATATACGTGTGTATATAAACCTTGTATTGATGCATGATTACATGGTATGTTGGTTTATGATATGATAGTTATTCGACATGCATCATAAGTTATACGTTAGTTTAAAAACATGAAATAGTCGATAAAACAGTGGGAGAAAAGGTTTGTTCCATGTACACTTGATTTACTGCTTTACTTCATATATATAGTATGCCAAAGTTCATGATAGGCGAACACACAGAAATGGTTAGTACTCAAGTCTAATCAGCCCATTGCATATTCGTGAAATATCACCTTGGTTTGTAATTATATGTAGGTTTCCGACTGTTCTGGTCTGATGGTTTTAAACGATATGTATTATTGCATTTGAGGTCATAGGCCACTGACAATTAAAAAAGCATCTCATTTGGAACTTAAGTCGGTCACTACACATTTGTCTATATTAATTTGGGAAAGAGTCAAACGAAACAAATATGAAAAGGACAGAGGCATCTTTGAAAAACTCGGTTTAATGTGACCCTCAATTGGACTGAAATTGGTAAAATTATTTTGATGACTAACAAGACCATCAGCTGGTATATTCAGGAACACTGATTCTGGGCAAACAAAGCGTCATGTCATGAAAAGGTAATTAACGATGCCAAAATCTTGTTTATTATTCTGAACTAATTGAGGTGCCTATGTTACACGTTAAATTGTTGTGTCTATGTCATCTAGGTCAGCGCAGGATGATAATCTACAAGAGTTATAGTTCGACAACAAACGAAGCGATTGTAAAAATAGTGGTTTACACTATGCCTGGCTATTTATATGTTAAATTAACTGTATTCAAATTTAAGGAGTTTTATTAAATCTGGAAGTTTATGCGTCAAGTAACTTTGTTGAGGAAAATGAATTAGAAAAAAAGGTGTGAAATCCGCTGTAAATGGTAAACTATTTTTAATCAGAGTATTAGGACAGGTAGCCTAAAAACATATTTTTTGCCTAGAAACGGTGAAATTTTTTTATTCCCCTGAATATGAATATAATCGCTTTTTTTTTCAGATAGAATATTATAAGAAAAGTTGCAAAAGAAAATGTAATTTACGGTACTTTGTGGATATTTGAAAATATTTTTTCGCCAGATGTTACTATAATTTCGTCGATAGGCAAAAGAACTAGTCATATTACAATATAGAATTGTATTCTCAGTCAAAAGTTTCTCAAAAATACCGAAAGTTTTTTTCACAATAGCATATAGCATGTTAACGGAATAGTTTTGAGCATGCAGACGATGGCCAAATGTTAAATTTAAAAGAAAAAGTTATGTACAAGGTTTTAATTTTTATACATATGCATAGCACTAAGATAAAAAAAAATAACACAAATATAAAAGATACTCAATTATCTTCGCAAAATCTAAATTTTATTTTCTCTTATCCATAATATGGCCGATGAAGCAAATCGAAAGCTTTTTGTGGGCAGTCGACTACTAAAATCTTGACACTGAATAATGGATGCAAAATTAACATGATGCCAGCCTAAGATGTTTATCTTTGAGATAGGACTTTTTCGTCTCAAAATGTATCTTTTGTACTGTTGATGGCAGCCGTTTTAAAATTTAATACTTTGGAATTGATGACGAAAATGTTTTATCAAGTATTGGACAGTGATATCTCATATATTTCTGTCACAATCGATCGACGTTTTATCTTCGAATTCATTATAAAAGTTGTCAGACTGTGAGATACTATGATAAAATTCGAAATCATTTACGGTTTTACGTGATGGGTAATGAAATGTCACAGATGAAACTGAAAGGTGATACTTAGTATATGAACTTACAGCTTCTAGATATTTTTATCTGTCATTTTATACGTCAAAGTTTCTATTTCTGACGTTAGTATAATGAGAAAATTATTATTTGATGCGTCATGTGAATAGGGGCATATAGTTGAATATAATGTTGATATATTTATTTCATTTTTATGATTTATCATTCGTTAAACAATAGTTTTGGGCGTAACCGATGCAAATTCAATTCCAATTTTGCTTTTTCAAATGCATTTTAGACTCGTTTATGGCGTTTGCACTTGAAAATCACGTTCCTGCGAGATATATTTCTTAAACCACCCAGTGAACTTAATAATATAAGGTCGTTATAATATATATCCCACATAATGCAATATGTAGTTTTATGTTTTAAATGTTTGTTATTAAAAGAAAATGGCGTAGACGTAAAAGTTTTGTGGTAAGAGTTTTCGTGGTTAAAATTTAAAGCACATTTATAATTTTAGGGGGAAATTTCTGGTGATCTGATACGGAATAACAAATCATTTTATTATCTCATCTAATTTAGGTGATATTTTAGAAGTCATTTTTTGTTCGTTGTTACTTATGATCTATTTCAGGTTATTCACCCTTCATAATTCAGCCACATGTAATTACTAATATGAATATGGATGAAATGGTAGAAAAATTTAAATTTTGTCTTTTAGGATAAATTGAGAATTTTCTTTTACGTTTGGTAATTGACAAACCTTCCTGTAGCGGCATTATAAATGAGAAATGTCCCACAATCAGGAAAAATATAGATTGCTTCGGACCAGATTGTTTTTGAAAGCATACCACAAAACAAACGAATTTGAATACTGGTGAATAGCGAACAAATGACTGTGATTGTGGAAATCTATCTTCGTTAACAATATATAGCAGGGACAAAATCAAATGCCAAATAATTGGATGATGTCAATTCAAATGTAAATCACATCCTCCTGCAAAAGCTTAAATTCAAATATTTTTACAAATGAGATTAAAAAGACAATGCTATTTTTGACAGATTTTCAAAAAAGACCTCTGCATGGTATTTCATGAATTTAAAATCCCCAACCACAATATCGCTGTCTGTAGCATTTTCAATTTGTATAGGTGGCGTATTGAAT